TGGAGTGCTCTGAGCCGCCTGGATTCGGGGCTGAAGCCACCCCGTAGAGGTGGTGAAGAAGGGGGAGATTGCCAGCGGGGTTGAGGAGAGCTGCATCTCTCTTCCTCGGCTGGCCATTACTCACTTTCCCAAAGACGGTTGGAGCGGTGGTCAGAAATGGCCACCTCAAAGAAGAACCTGACCAGATAAGATTGTGCAGGAGGAAGTTTAAAGGAAAAAGTTTGACTGACCGGGTTGAACTGAGAAAACATCTACTTAAGATGGAACTTGAATTACAAAGACTAATACTATTCCTAAAAAAGATTTTTTAAAGCGGCGAAAGAGAAAGGGAAAGGAAAAAGAATTGGCTTTTCTTTCTCTCACATTGACAGCTTTAATTGAGTTTGAACGTTAAGAAGAAGAGATCTAAACAAGAAATTGATGTTAATCCACTTTGACATTAACAGGCTATTTTTAGCTGAAAATAAAGTATCAAAAGGATAAAGACTCTTGGATAATTTAAAATTTTCAAAAAGAAAGAAAGCAGAGGGGAAAAAAAGAGAGTGGAATCTGGAAAAATGGAGGAGACCATCTGGAAGTAAAAAGAATTGATGGTGGAATTTCAACAAGACTTATAAAGGACACATTGTAGCTGAAACTTTGTTACAATATAACAAAGCCCCTGGGAAAGAGAAAATGAGAAAAGAAGCAAGAAACAGCTTTGGATTATTGGGTGATTCCTGGAATTTTGGATGGTGGATCCTAATTAAATGAAATAAAATCAATTGGGGGTTGTTTAAAAATCTTTAAAATGGCATCACTCCTTGAAGAGCTAAAAATGAGACTTAAAGAACAAAAAGAAGCACAAGAGGGAAGAGGATCTTTTGGCTTTGTATTTCAATTTTTAGAAATGGAGATTTTGAACTATGAAAAACAACAAGAAATGCTGGCAGAACAAGAAAGGCGGGACAAAGAAGAAGCCATCTTCAATGACCAAGCAATTTTAAGCAGAGTAAAAAAGGGAAAGGAAGGAAAGGGAGTTAAAAACTTAAGACTTGAAGCAACAACCAAAAAAAGAGTAATTTGAAAAGTAACTATAACATTAGGAAGAAGCAGAAGGGAGGATCACAGAAGGGAGAATCAAATAGAAAAGGGAACAAAAAGGGAACGGAGAAGAAGAGGGGGAAGATGGAAAGGAAAAGAAGCTATAAAGGAGAGAAACAAGATACAGAGAAACAGGAAAAACATACAAGAATTAAAGGTATAAACCTATTTAAAAGACACAGAGACAATGGTTAAAAATTTAACTTAAAGAGAGGTTTCTGCAAGGGTACATGAGATAGCATTGTTATACTAGAAACAGAAAAGAGTTAGAAAATATGATAGATGATTAAAGTGACAGATAAAATTGGCATTAATATGTAATGGAATATTTGTTAGTAATTAAATGAAACAAAGAGGATAAGAGAATAAGGCTCTCAATTATTTAAAAAAGAATATAATTGAAAAGAAACATGAAAGATTTTTAATGAAATTAATATCAGTTGACAGGGTGAATTTGAATAAGAATAATAATTTTATTGACTACTGTTAATAACTATTGTTTTGTTTTTTGTTTAAAGACAGTATGAAATATAGGTGATCAAAGTGAACGACAACTGATAATATTAGGTAATGTTTGTTAAAAGATGGAAATATTTTAAATAGAAATGTAAAAGATTGCTATCAATATTAATGGCTGAGCTGAACTTGAATAGAATAATTATTTCATTTACTATTGTAAAGATATGCATATACATATACATATACGGCACTCAGCTTTGTTCGGGTATTTTCCCACGTCATAGTAGTTGTGCTTTTAAAGTTGTAGCGACGTTTCGGCAGAATCTAGTAAGATACTACACAGACACCACATCAAGACTGCCTTCAAAACAGACAGAAAAATAGCAGCCATCCTCAGAAACCCCAAAGATAAAATTGACCTGGAAAACCAAGGCATATACGAAGTCCCCTGTGCATCATGCCCGGCCACATACATTGGACAGACCAATAGAAGAATAAGTACCCGCCTGGATGAACACAAAAATGCAGTCAAAAAGCTGGAACACACTTCCTCACTAGTCCAACACATGGAAGCCACAGGTCATAGCATCAACTTCAATGCCACCAAAACCCTAGCCACTATAGAAAACCCCAGCCACAGAATCATCAGAGAAGCCATAGAGATTGAAAAAAGACCAGAAAGCATGAACAGAAGAGATGATTCCACCAGACTGTCAATCATTTGGAAGCCTGCACTCACAAACAAAAAAATCTCCACACCACAAGCCAGGCAAACACCTGGGCACAAACAAATCCCCCCTGATACCTCCAGCTCAAACACACCCCAACCAGGCACCCAGATGAAACCTAGCTTCCTAACTAATGATAGCCATCCATTCACCCGGAGCCAAGCTGCACTAAAGGCCTCCAATAAAGTAACACAATGTTGCCAGCCAATCAAGATACAAAAAGAGCCAAAAAACAGACAGAAGATATTAGAAACACCAATCAAGAAGAACACAGCAAACTCCAAGACCAATAAACACAGACCAAGACTCTCAACCAATCAGGATGAAGAAAAAACCATTCTGGCACAGCAATAGGCTGTCCCAAATTCAAATCTGAAACCACTGTAAAAGCCTGACTCACAGATGAACACTATACAGAAGCCTGATGATGGCAGATGAGATTCTGCTGAAACGTTGCTACAACTTTAAAAGCACAACTACTATGACGTGGGAAAATACCCGAACAAAGCTGAATGCCATACATGTAAGTACCCGTGAAAACTTAAGAAAACAAATATACATATACATATACATATACATATACATATACATATACATATACATATACATATACATACATACATACATACATACATACATACATACATACATACATACATATATA